ACACACCCACAAACAGGACACACACACAAACAGGACACCCACACATGTAGGATATGCCCACATATAGGACACACCCACAAACAGGACACACACACAAACAGGACACCCACACATGTAGGATATGCCCACATATAGGACACACCCATGTTTAGGACACACCCACAAACAGGACACACACACAAACAGGACACCCACACATGTAGGACACACCCAGAGATGAGCTTATAGTAGTCTTGCATAATGACAGAATTCCAAGGAATACAGAAGGCTGGGTTTCCCCTACACAGACCACACAGACATAACTAATTAATTTCACTGCCCCTCCCCCCGCCCCCACAAGCAAAATACTGAGGCTCCTCTGTCCACTAACATTTGTATGCATAAATGCTTTTATTTTGATCTATATCAATCCCGAGTGGATTTATATTTGCCACATTGTGCACAAATAAACTGTTCACTATAAAGTATCCATAGTGATGATCAAATCTCGTTCTCAGGATTGGATTTTCTATTTATTTATTTATAATTGATTTATATCTCCCCTCAGTTATCTTTATTTGAAATGAAATATTGAACAAACAATAAAAATACATTTAGAAAAAGTTGCCTAGTGTAAGGTTTTTACTGAAATTATGCCGTGATTTGCCTGGACATTGCCATGATACATTCATTGCATTAGCTGTGTGTTAACACTCAAGTGAAGTGTGTATACAGATAATTTAAAAATATATAACTCCAGTATACTTTGCACTAATGCCAGAAAAACAATTCTTGATACAACGTGCTACCACGGTGCCAGATGCAGTTATTGCAGTTCTAAAATCTTTTTCCTTATCACCCGGGACATTTTGCATACACTTATCAAAGTCAGTTCAGTTTGCATCCTTTCAATTCTGATTATTCTTCTTCTTCTGAGTCAGTGCTTGAAGTGGGCCGGCACTCACCAATACGCAGTACCAGCACCTTTTTGTATCTCTCTTCAGAGTACCGGCACCTCTCAATATCTACTGGTACTGAATAACAATGCGAGTACCAGCACCTGGTACTCAATAACAAAGGGAGTACCGGCACCTGGTACTGAATATCAAGGGGAGTACTGGCACCTGTTTTACCCCCATTTCAAGTACTGATCTGAATTGTGTGAAATTTGGGGATCCCCAAGCAGGCGATAACACATGTCTGCAAACTGAGGAACCACTACAGAACCACTCACTCACAGGGTGAATCTCAACATGCGTACTTGACCATACTTGAGTTCTCGTGTCCCCGTTTTACGTCGTCTTCCATTGACAAAAGATCAGTTCCAATACTAAGGACAGGAGTACAGAGGATGGTAAAAATCACCGGATGTTGGTCTTGCTCCACCCCAAATATCAAGGATACATTGGTTGCATCCTCGCCAAACGAGACCAATCCCATGAGTCATTGCACCCCAAGTTCTCATTCTTGGAAGGCAAGTTAGCAAGACTGGTCTTGCCAAGACCACAAGTTCGATCTTTGTGTTCTAGGTATTGAGATTCACCCACACACTCAAAAACAGGGAGGACACAGGGTGCCCAATGATGAATGTTTCAGAATAAATGTGGAGGAAATATGTGTCATATACAGAACTCACAGAAAGTCTTGGGATCTTTCCTTAATTCCGTAAGAATGTTGCACATTTATTGGTTTCATAACAACAGTCCATTGACAAGCAATGTATAACGTATCAGCACGTATCTTACATGCAGACATTTTCTTTTTATTCTCAGAATTCTTTTGACTGACTCATTCAGTTCTGTTCTTGCCATTCTGATAAGTGTAACTCTAGTCATTAGCTTCCTAAGGGATACTAAACAAATCTTTAGTGTTTTGTTATTGGAAAAGCGTTACTAATTAAAACACCCAATGAGACCACTTGTCAATGAACTTTTTAAGTCAGAAAAGCTTTTTTAGAACTATAATTTGGGTTTGAATTTGATTGTTTTACTGAAAATTACTGGTCGTTTTTAATGCGATACAATTTAAAAAAAAAAAAAAACAAACGAGTAAAGTAATTTCAGCAAGATTCAATTGTTTCGTAAATCGTTTTTTTTAAACTGGATTTTAATTAAGATCTACAGTTTATGGATGTTAGCATTCGCTATCTTGTATTTAACTTTGGCGCCGTGTTTTAAGGTGCCGCTGCAGCGTTTGTGCTGAGAGAGAATAAGGAAATATACCGAGAGTACAGAAAAATTAACATTGTAAACGATTATATTTTAACTGCGAAACAGATGGGAAAAGGTGAACCTGTACATGGCCATCATCTACAAATACTATTACCGTCAGAACCGTTTGCAAACAGATTATTCTTTTTGGAATGAAACTTTCGGGTTTTGACAACCATAGCATAAGAATAGCATATTTGTGTGTGCACACTTGCTGGCAAAACAGATAAGCAGTTTTGTTTAATTTTATTTAAAGAGTAAATAGTTAAATGTTTACAGTTTCCCTGGATGTCAATGATAATTTTGTCAAATAAAAATTTTTACTTTGAACCCGGCGTAAATTCAACCATTGTCAGTAAAACGCAATGATACACTTGTTCTGGGATCCCAAAACAACTTACTGGAGAAAACAATGAACGACTTTGCATATGTACATTTTTCTTATCATTAATGAACACGAATATTAAAAAGTATTTAACTTGCTAAAAGTCCCCAGTGTGCTTGCCAGCGACTTCCTGATTTATGGCACTTACTTTGGCACGCAGGACCCGCGGAAAGCAGCAGCAGCAGCGGCAGCAGCAGAGTCGCCTTCATGGTCAGCGGCCGCTCATCCGCTCGCAGTGTTTCTGAGTTGCGGGACGCCGGACGGGCACCTTTATAAAAGCTCGAGGTCACACCCCGTGACAGCCAATCGCGTCATCGGCTTTGCGCACTAAACTCCCCTGGTATTCTTCCACACCATTAAGTGGACACCCCTTTCGTCAGGAACCATGCATTAGTTAAATATCCATCAGAAAACATAATTCCATACGTCAAGATATTTAAAAGCAAAGCAGAAATAAAATGTATCCTAAAAATGTTCTATATA